TCATTTTCATAACATTCATATTGAATATTGAAGTAATATTCGAACGTTCGCCACAATATTTATTGGGTAATTAAAAAAAATTTACTTAGAAAAGTTCTTAACTCGTCGATACTTTTCGGCATTCGCGATATTTATCAGTACTTTGAAAAAGTATCGAGTTCTCGATACTACTCAGTAGGGATGTTGCGAATGTGGAATTTAGACATCCGCGGATGCGAATGCGGATGCGGATGTTTAAAAGCTAACCGCGGATGCGGATGCGACGCGATGTCATGTATTTTTAAGAAATAATTTAGGTGGGTAAATTAGGTGATTTAGGTAAATAAAAAATGGAAAGGTTAATAATTGTTAATAATCTGCCTTTTTTGAGTTTTCTGAGTTTTGCCCGAAAAAAAAGTCGCCGGAAAATTTGTATTCCGCCCATAGTAAATATGTACATGAAAACCAAAAGTGAAAAGTGAACCGGTTCGGGGAAAATTAAACTCATGATAAGACTGAATGTTTTTTTAGTACTTGAACTTAAAAATTGGAACATTGTACTTAATAAAAACTTTTTTAAGGGTCGTAAATCAAACCTGCGCCACTATGTATATACTTAACTATGTACTCGCTCGAGGCGACAAACTTGAAACTTGGCAAAATTGTAAATTCTTTTCGATTGACACTGCACCAGTTGAGAGGACTTTCAGTTATATTTATTTATTTTTGTTGTGGTGCAATAATTACTTTTTGAGAATTTCATCGGGGCTACAAATGTCGGATGTATCCTCCTGACTTTCATCTTCACAATCTAGCATCATGGCACAATCCTTATTTAAACACGGTTTTTTTCGAAAGAATTCTTCATTCAAATTCTTTTGGTTGTTTCGAAATTTGTCACGTCATCAATTTCGTTTTTCAATTTTAGTTTTTATAAGCATTTTTAATGCTTTCTTCCCTGACTGGTTAGATATACGTCTGTGCACTTGCAGAATATTCTAGGAACCGAACAGTTATTTTTTTCCGAGTTAAATTTGGCCTAATATTTTATATTCCGAAATAAACGTCCTATCCAAATAATAAAGAAACCGCTTATCCAAATTAAACAAATTGGGTATCATATGAAAGAGGACTGAAATAGCTTTTAAACAGAAATAACGAATGAAGGTTACCACCTCTATTTATATTTTTATAACTTAATACTAAAGAAATTCATGTAAATACATACATACCTGACCCAATGTTTGTTCTATGGTAATTAATTAACATTTGTTATTGAAATATTTTTTAATTCGTGGCTTTCCTCTTTTAGACATTTCAGATTTAAAGCTATTTAAGTCCTCTTTCGGAAAGTACTTTTATTTCGGAATAAAAATATTTGGCCAAGTTTAACTCGTAAAAAAATAACTGTAATTTTCGGTCCCTTCAATATTCGCATTCGCAAAAGATCCGCCTTCATTTTTGCGAATGCGAAAGCGAATGCGAATGTTAAAATTAATGCGGAAGCTCCACGGTTGCAAATGCGAATGCGAATATTCGCAACAACCCTGCTACTCAGTACTCATGAAAAGTATCGATATTCTGTACTCGGTACTCGTATCGTTCCATCACTATCCACATTTTTAAATTTAAATAAATCCATCGTGGTCCCGCCCTTTAACTGTGTTAATGAATACTGATATAATTAAAAATATATATACATTAAAATCATTGTTATGGTAAATAAAACTACAGAAAATAACGGCTTTTCAAAATTAAATTAGTGTTACTCTCCAAGTCGTGATTAACTAAATAACTGGTTATTTCATGTAATGTATGCATATGTATTGAACTTTAAACAAGTAAAGAAGTATAAGTTCGGGCGAAACCGAACTGTATATACCCGGCACAGGTATAAAATATCGTCGTTTCAACTTTCTCTGAACTACCTTTTCATGATAAGTAGGGGTGTTTAATCGATTTCAAACGTTTTCAATAATATGCAGAGTTAGACTTAATGATATAATTCAATCTAGTAAGGTACAAATCGATTAAGCGGTTACCAAGGTACACCTTTGTAGTTATAAAGTGGGCGGTGCTACGCCCAATTCCTAAAAGTCTATAGCAGTTATTTATTGTTAGGAGATTGTCGTAACTATTAACATGGATTAAATTAGCGTCCTCACTTATTGAACAATGGCTTTTCGTATTTCTGAAATTTACCGTTACACGGGAAGCGGGTGTAATTTTAGTCCGATTTGAATAATTTTCAAGAAAGTGCTTTTCTGTACCAAGTGTACCAAGTGCACTGAGTTTTGTAGAAATTAATAAAGCGGTTACCGAGATACACATTTTTGGTCATAAGTGGGCGGCGCCACGCCTATTGTCCAAAAATTTATAATATTCATATTTTTTGATAAGTGGTTATTGTAATCATCGATTTTAAGTGAATTAGCTCCAGTGGTTACTGATTTATCGCAGTTTTCGTGTTTCTATAAATTACCGTTATATGTCAGGTGGACGTGGTTATTGCCCGATTTCAAAGATTTTCAACAGATTTCTTAGTTAGACCCTACCCAAGCCTCGTACTGAGTTTTGAAAGGATTAGTGAAGCGGCTCACGCCCATTTCCAAAAATTTTATGATAATATTATTTTCTACCAGAATTCTACTCTACATACTAATTTTCAATTATTTACATCTAATATTTACAGAAATATGGTAGTTTTTGCATATTTCGAAAATACCCTTATATGGGAAGTGGGCGTGGTTACAGTCCGATATCGCCCATTCAATACCAGCCTACCTTGGGTAAAGGGCAACCTACATACCAAATTTCGTTGCGAATTTATGCTCGAGTTATCGTGTACACCGACAGACAGACAGACATGGCTTAATCGTCTTCTCTTTTCATTCTGATCATTTATGTATACATTTGTCCATATCTACAAACAACCGTTATCCGAACAAAGTTAATATACCCTTGTGCATTTTCGTTATTTCGTTTTGTTGACATCCTAAAGTAGCGACAAAAATATCCAATCAGTTGTTCAATCAACACCACCTTGTATTGATGTGCCTTGGGTGGTCGCATTAAAATTTACCAGCATATATTCGTGTTTTATAAATATTGTAATATGGCAAGTATCGCAAGATGTTTCTACTTGAATCAAATATGAGGGCATGCGCATTAGTTTATTTTGCTTTGGAACCGAAGAAAAATCGATACACATTTACAAGTAAGCAGAAACTTATACATTTGCCCTGCAGAAAATCTGACTAGCTCAGAACTAGCGTAGACCTAGACCTTTTGCCGACAGTACTAGTTCTAGTTCAATACCCAACCAAAGCTTTCAACTGTCCAGTTTTACACGGCGATGCCATTGGCGGTGGCAATTGTCGCCCAGTGCCTTACTTTGCAACTAGTTTTTAACCGGTTCCGTTTTGGACAAGTTTCTTTATAAGAAAACGTTTTAAAGATTCTATTTTGGGATATNCCCAGTGCATTACTTTGCAACTAGTTTTTAACCGGTTCCGTTTTGGACAGGTTTCTTTATAAGAAAACGTTTTAAAGATTCTATTTTGGGATATTTTTTTCGTTTTTTCCAGATTCCATTTTTGTTACACGTTTTATTAAAAAATAAAATAAAATTGTTGGGCGCGTTTCTAAGACGCAACTGTTTACCGCAACTGTTGCGGAAATGCTGTCAATTTTTGAGTCCAACAGTTACGTCCTAGAAACGGTATGAGCACAATAAAAAAAAAATATTAAGCCGAAAAGATGTATGTGCATACGATACACCATTCAGTTTATTCCTTAAACCACAAGGAATCTTGACTTGCTAGCACCATAACTATTTTTTTCACATTTATTTGCCAAGAGTCTGCACGGTTTCAGTGAGTTATTCAAATTCGTCTGCTGCGAATGGTACACGAATGGTATTAAATCCCGCCTCCCGACTTAAGCAACTACGAACTCAGTTATGTACATATATAAGCTTTTAAGTCCACGAATTTACCATTTTTATCTTATTTTAAATATGTATACACGTGCATTTTATTTTTTTATGCCAATTTCACTAGCAATTTATAGAAAAATTATTATTTTTATTTGAATTTACTATGAAAACTGACGGAAGGGAAAAATCAATTTTGACTTAAATGGTTGAGTTCATGTAGCAAAATGGTTTATGATGGAAAATTGGCGTCGAATCCACAACCGCTGAACAGAGCGGAACTACTCAACTGTGCGTTTCTAAAACAAACACTCAACAGTTTAAAAACGGTTACGCCTTAGAAACGCGCCCATTGTAAGCTGCACGCAACACTTTAAATTCATTAAATCTGAAAACTTACAACTGCCTCCACCGCGATTTGAACTCCGGACCAACGAGGTTTAAGTCGGAGGTCTTTTCGCTGAGCTACCTTCGTATTGTACGAATAGTGAGCATTTGCACATTTACACCGCAAGTTTCAACTGTCCCGCTCTGCGTCCATTTTGCACTAGTTCAGAAATAGTTCTGATATATGTAATTCGCAACTAGCGCTTTGCCAGACTGTCTCTAAATTTGAGTGCACGGTGTGTATGGTGCAGATGTATGTATGTACAAACATAAATACATCAACATTTTTTAAACAAATGAAATGTTGTTTAGAATCGCGTAGCGGAACTTCTTTGCATATAAAAGCCCATCAAAACAAAAAAGCAGTTCTAAATGGATTCTAGTCACCAAATAAATGTACCTTTGCGATCCGGTGGCAAAAAAATTAAAAAACGGAGGGAGCTTGATGCGCTTATAGCACATTCCTTTGGGAAAAAACAAACTATCCGACGTAATAATTTAAATAGGCTCTCGCAAGATAAATTATTATCTGCATCAACTGATGATGCTGAGGACTATACTTGGATACAACTGCACAGAGTAAATTTATGAAACAAATAAATAGAATGAATTTATTCTTTAATAGTTATATTATCGTCAGCCCAAAAACGCTAGGAGTGCAAACCGTTGTCAGAATCGTAAAAGTATGATCTGCAAGCGCTTGCTAATGTTCATAGCAAGTATCTTGTTAATAGGACTTCTTTATTGGATGTATTTGGATTTACGACAAGAAATATATGATTATAGACAAAAACTTGAAGAAGGTAAGAGTTATAAATTGTTGTTGATATACGGTTAGGGGAATATATTTCAAATTATAAAGCTTATCCATACATATACATACATGCTATGTACATACCAGAGAACAACTTTGAGTATGATCGAGCCTTTTTGATCACACTCACTAAAAATCAAGCACAAGCGAACGCCACACTCGGCTACTATGTGTTCGATCGAGATGCATACCCGACAGCTGCTTTGGTTACGAACGAGTCTGTTCGATCACCCTCGCTATAAATTGAGCACAAGCGAACACCACACTCGGACACCCGCAGCTAACCCGAAAATTTGTGTAACAATGAAACGGACACCCGAACATTGCGATAAAATGCAGGACAACAAAGAAATTTACGCTGAAGGTAACTGGCGCCAATATGTTCCCACAAAGCATACGAAAATGTTGTTGCTTTGTGCTTGTGCATACGCAATGAAAAAATTAGAAGCGAAGTAGACAAAAATGTTTTTGCATCTATTTCGTATAATTTCGCGTGGAAAGCTGTGTGTGTATATATAAGAACACAGCCTAAAACTATGTAGGTACATAAGTACTTTTACCAAAAATAAATGTGCACCGAGTGTATAGGGCTTGGGCAT